TATAATGTATATTTCTCAGTCACAGTTAATTCACTATGACATTCAATTTCTCTGAAATGAGGTGTATACAGTCATCACTTACTACATATTCTATAAACTTCAACTCTTCTGTTTCAAACACACACTTGATTAATTTGATGTAGAGCTTATACTCTGTCAGAGTTATAAGCACTTCATTGAGATGCTTCAGATGTTCATTATATGAGTTTGAAAAGACTAGAATGTCATTGAGATATATAAGATATGAGGTTTTATTCTGTTTATGAAGAATTATATTCATCATCATTTGAAAGATGATAGGTGCATTTGTCAGACTGAATGATATTATCAGAAATTCAAACTTCTCTCATTATATATTAAACATGGTTTGTGAGACTGACAGTTTATCTACACAGATCTGTCAGTATTCTGAGAGAAGATTGATCTTTGATAGATATCAGATGTTTCTGACTGTATTCAACTGTTATTGAATCTGTGACAGTGAATATTCATTCTTGATCATAAGCTTATTAAGTGCTTGATAATTGATACACATTCATCACTCTTTATCTATCTTTTTCACAAATAGAACTGAAAAGCCTCATACACTTGATAAGAGTTGTATAAGACTACATTCTAGAAGGTCTGTGATCTGACACTTCTGTTCTTTGAGATGCATTTGTGACAGAGAATACATATTCTGATTGACTGGTTTTACATTCCCTGTGTCAATCTTATATACAAATCCTTATTCTGGCAGCAATTCTGATAAAAGATCTGTTCAGAAGACCTTTCTATACTTCTTCAGAAGCTTCTTCATATACTTATTCTCTTATATATTCTTTATCTTGGTTTTCTTCACTTTCAGATTCTGTATGACATACAGAATGCTTTCAGATGAGGTCTTGTAAATTATTCTCTTTGCTTATTAATATATAAGCAGATTTAATTCTTCTATATCAGAGATATGAAATGTTCTTCTCATATCAGTTGATAGAATTATATGAATCATTTTCTTTCTATTAGTTAACTGCATATGACATGTACATCATTGAATCTGCAGATTGAATCTTTAAAATTAATTAAGTCTGAGAAAAAGATTATATTTTATGTTCTGCAGCTCTCACACTCAAATATAGCAAGATCATTCTCTGAAGTGTAAGAGAACTCTTACTTTTGCAGGTGATATCAGATATCAGTTATCAGATAATCTTATATATCAGAGATTCTTCACTCAGTGAATCTCTTTTAATCTTTGAATCATATAATTATTAATATATTGTGTAGAAGCTTCTATATCTACTAACACTTTTACAGTCATCTCTTAATTCTTACTCAAGTGTCTCTTATACATTAACATTTCAGGTCTCAAGGTATTAAGATGAGTATTCACTTCATTCTCATCTGTATCTCAGTCAGAAGCCTGCTTTCTCTTGATATTTATAGAATTCAGAGAGTCATCTAATATGAGCATCTCTTTCACTTTGAAGACTTTTCATAGAATATTAGTGAGTGTCTCTGAGCTCACTGATTCTGTTAGTTTTTTAACTCTCTTGCTTCTCTTGACTGTGCACACTGAGTGTAATCTTTTGTATCATGATTTTGACATCTACAGTTGAAGCAAGCTTGATGCTCATAATATCAAGATTTTCACTCAGAGAATCTCTTTTTCAGAGAATTCAGTGCTTTAGTAATAGCATTCAGATCTAGATTCATCACATTCAGATATATAACTTGTGTTATAGAAGTCTGATTATCTGTTCTTCACTGAGATATACTTGATTACAGTATTTTCTGTTACAGTTGACTTATTTATTTCTGTATAATGAGAATATTGTATACTTTCTTCACTGTGCCTGGCTATGAGATTAAGCATTTTCATTCTGCTCTCAACTCAGATATAAGATCATGAATGAAGATCTATAAATAGAAAGATGTTAAAAGCTCTTCATTCAACACAAGATAGTGTAAGCTGAAGTGTGTGAAGTATAATATAAGATTACTCACTTATCTACACTCAGTGAAGCATTCATAATACTTATCTTATATATTCACTTTCTCAAACTTGTGCAAGATTCATTTGAAAAACTCATTTCATATTCATGAGAATGAATATTGCTCTGAGTCTATGAGATTCATCTTTTCATCAGTCATTTATAATGACTTCACTTTTTCATGTAGAAATATAACAGATCTTAAAACTTGTTAAAATTTCATTGACTGTCTGTCTGTGAGTTCATGTTCAATCTGATAATATAATTATATCTGACTTAGCCAGCTGATTGCAGTATCATTTTTTCAGTCATCATTGAAACTTGATAGCTTCAGCAGATCTCTTAGCTTGATGTATTTCATACTCAGATTCTCATTCTGCACAGTGATCTTCAATGATATATATGCTTCTGAAGAGATTGTGAATAATTATGATGAAATCTTCAGATTTGATATAGTTATCTATCTGTGTAAATGTTCAATCTTCTACTGCAGGCCTAAGATCTGATTTTCTCTATTCTTATTAATAATGATGATTGTGTCAGTGAAGCTCTTCATAGTGAATACTTGATCTGCAGTGAATATCAATTGTTATTTGACTTCTGTCTCAGTCTGTCACTGCATACACAAGGTCTCAATCTTGTTTAGAATTCTTGTATGTGTATAAAGCTTTGATTTCAGTTTGATAATCTCAGTCACTTTTCTTACTACTTTGAGTAAACTCTCTGAGAGGTTCTACATATCTTCTGATTCAGGTAGCAGAGAAGAATGTTGTTTATATTAACTAGAGAAGATATTCATTTCAGTGATTTCTGATTGATTATATAATGTCTATTATTATATTACTTGTATTATTATATCACTATATTACTGTATTATTATATCACTATATCATTCTATCACTATATTGTTATATGATTTCTGTTATCATTGTATAACTCTGGTGATGATCATCTCTTCTTTTATTTCTTTAAGTGAAGAGTGATCTTCTTTGAATCTGATTCATCACTCTCATTTCTTTCTCATATCTCATTCATTTGCATTTCATATATGGCATTTATCTGAGCATGAAGTTTTTTCTTAATAAGCAAAGCAGTATCAATTGAATGCTCTTCTGCTCACTGCTATTTATACACTATCTTTTGAGACATTCTAGAATCACACTGGCATGATAATTACAAATCACTTTGTAGACAGAATTATCACATTCTGAAGAAGCCTGCACTTCTCACTGATTTTTAGACATGCTATCAGATGTGATTCAAAGATTGCTTAAGTCAGTATATGATTACAGGTGTACACCGGCTTCTTATATATTGTAATATCATACACTAATTTAATTAGCGGCTGCTATGGCCCCTTTACACTCGTACGCGTACGCTAGTAGTTCGGAAGCGGCCGCGGTATTATCCGACAGTCGTACGTTCTTCCGAATCATAAAATTACTGAGATCTATAATATTAAATCAGAGCTGTTAATTCATGAGTACTCTTTAAATAAGAATCTGTTAAGATCTTAAGATTATATACTATATATTAACTATCTATTACTCTGAGACTGATAATATATCAGAATAAATAATTCAGACTGTGAAGAATTATCTTTATAAATTCTATAATTACTTATAAGATAATTAATATAATCTTTTTCTATATATAGAGATTACTATCAATGATTAAGATACTGTTTTAATAGATATAAGCCTGTTCTTTCTTATATACAGATATTATATAAAAGTACTGAATCTTTTAGAGATTATATATTTTATACTGAACTTCTACAGTTTAATTTAGATCACTGATAATATAGTAATAAAACTCTGAGATATCTATAATTAAGTAGAAGTCTTTATAATAAATACTAAACAGAATTAAGAAGATTAAATTAATATTCACTGAGACTCTGCTGAATAATATAAAATAAAAGATCTGATATAATTAAATCTTAAGAATATATAAATCATATATTTATCTCATATACTGAATTACTGTTATATTAAGTATAAAGTGATAGAAGTTCTAGATAGTTATAACTACTATTTTAATATATTATCAGAGATTTATAATATCTTTTATATAAGCTTACTCTGCTATACTATCACTGATCTGTTCTCTTCTTAACTGACTTTTAACTGACAGCTGCTAGACATTATAGAAGAAGATAATAAGCTTAAGTAAGAGATTAAAAATATTCTTGATAAGAGATCTCACAGCTGCAGCTTATAATATCTTATAAAATAAATCAGATATAATTATCTGATCTAAACTCTGAGTTCTGTATTATCTAAAACAGCAGCTCTTGACTAATGAGAACTGCTTCTGAAAAGAGAGAACTAATGTAACAGACTGTGTCTAATCAATTATATAGACTATTTTATTACACTTCACATATTTCAACTGCTTCATTCTCAAATATATACACTATACTCTAATTCTCAGTTATTTTCAATTACTGATTCTCAGCTGCTATAAATATATATAGATTCTTCTGCTCTGAAGCTTCACTGTGTACACTATTATATATGTATATAAATATTCACTTCAATCACTTATTCTCACACTTTCTCTTTCTTTCCTTCTCTAATATTTTTCTCTTTATTATATAAGATCTATCAATATTATACTGATCTGTTCAGCATAGGCCTCTTACAATATTATAGTATAAAACTTATTTTATTTATTTATAATATCATTTATCAGAATATCAGAATCAGATATTATATCAAATCTTTAATTGAATTAATATCTTGATCTTTTTCTAATTTATGAGATTTTTATAGAGAGTAGAGCTTGTTTTCTTGATATTTGAATATCTCAATAACACTGTGATAATATATATTAACTGATTTCACATTTTTTTAGCAGTCTCAGTGTAATTAAAAATCAATTGTATGTTCAAATTATCAATTGCTGCTTGTATAACTGCTTCATGATGCATATTGTGAATGTTTGAAGATGGATGAAATAATGAACATTGGGCGGGTGTTGGGTGGTTGGTTATGTTACAAGTTTGCCTGAACTAACGCGCATGCTGGCTTCAACTATTATGTCTTCTGAAGAACAAACCGTGCCATGACTTTGGCGGATAGTATGTCTTCTGAAGTTCTGGGGTATTTTCCAAGCTGATTCATCCCACTGGTCGCTAGTTATCCAACTAATATTCACATACTTCTACTTCCCAGAAATCGGGAGACAAAGACGTTCTGCGGCTGACATTGTCGCGACTTTCCACTTTCCACCAGGCTATATGCGTGATTATTTTTTATCATTGTTATATTTTCTTCCACCAGGCTATGCGGGAACAGATTCAGCCAGGTTTGAGAGACTTTTACCCCCAGCAGAGCCGCAAGTTGCACGTTGGGTTTTACCCAACTTGATCTGACATCCTCATGTTGGGATTCTTTGTCCGCTACGCTGACAGGAAGAAACCCGAATGATGCCAACCAAAGGAGATGGATGGTTGTTCAGTATTAGAGTCTCCAACCATGTTGCCTTATAAAAAAGGGACATCATGATTGTGATTTTTTGTCTTGCTCTCATCATTTTTTCTACCCTCCCCCTCGGGCTTCAAAATCTTATCTGTGCGCTTTTCTCTCCCTGCTGAAGCCAACACCAACTAATTCTCCACTGAGAGTCGAGCGGCAATCATTTCATAGACTCATCTATTCTTTGCAGCAGACAGTCAAAATGAAGATCCTCCCTGTACTCTTTGCCTTTCTCACAGCCTCTGCTGTAGGGCAGTCTATCTCTCCACCCACTCAAGCTAATCTGTCCCCAACAACCCAAGAGGTTTGTCCACTTCTTCTCACCTCTTGTACTGTTCACATACGGCATACATATCATCTCTATCAGCTTTATATTCCTGTACCACCGTATTGGTGCTGATGACAATCTAGGTTACGGTCGATGAAGCACTCCCGAATATTTCTGCTCGGGGCTTTGGGAAGTTCAAGAACATCTTTGATAAAGTAAAGAAGGGTGGTGATAAAGGTAATTCAGCTTAGTAAAAGTTATAGACTGGGCTCTTTTAGCTGTCTAAGTTCTTCGGATGAGCTTGGACGATGCTCCGCTCCTTAATCCTTTGATTCGCTGTCTTTCGTATCACATCAGTTTCTCATATAAACTGCATTTGTGCTCCCTATGATATGTACATATTTTAGACAGCACTTTTACTTTTTTATTTTCAGTTTTCATTTCCGCTTCTCCACAGATCACAGCTCCTTCTCGCCTTTCAAGCTGTCTATATTAGTATCATTCCAAAGCTGACGTTTTATATCTTCCTAGACAAAAAGTCTAAAGACAAAAAACCTAAAGACAAACCCGAAAAAAAGAAGAGCGAAGACAAGAAGAAGGATGAAAAGGAGTTAACGGAGAGCAAGACGTTGTCCAAGAAAAAGTTCAAATTCAAGAGTCCCAAGAAGAGCGATGGTAAGGGTAAGGGAGGAGGGGGGGCTGTGGTTGTCCAGTCAATGGCTCCCACTGGCCTAAAAGCTCCGCTACTCTTCATTGGAGGGCTATTTATTCTAACTACACCGTTGATGGTTCACTGATTATGGTGTCTCTTCACACAGCGCTTCATTTATTCCTTATAAACCGGCTGGCCGAGTCGCTGATGTCTGATGTATTCTTGGTTCAGTTCTTGTTCTGCAAACTGGTTTAGTTGTTTAATATATATCTCTAATTATTTTTTGGAGTCATTAACAATGGATGACATTTTTAGGTAGATTCCGTAGGCTGCTTGATTACTTCCCTCTCATTACTTCAGAGTATGATTTCTAGCCCCTCATCACATTGTTGAAACCATACCTTTGGTGAGTTGCTTAATCAAGAAACTGTATACCATCAAATAAATACAAAATGCCATTGGTAGAAATTCCACCCTTCACCTGCCTTCTCCATCAAGATCTCTTAGAGGCACGCTGTACAGTTACAGCTTAGGCAAGGACTTGATACCGGTTTTTGGGCATGAGGATCCAGAGCCAGCTATGCAACAAGTAACACAACGAAGTTAGTAACAAATTTATGGAGGGAAGAAAAAGAAGAAGGATATGAGCTCTATCATAGTTATTTGTAATGCAGTGCGAGAAAAGGGAATTTAATGCCAGCATACCTGGACTAGTGGAAACCCATTCGCCACTCTCACATTTGAGTTGAGGTCCTAGCCCTTGGAAGAATCCGGGACGATGCCAGCAAATGCGAAAAAAAGAAGAACTTGAAAGATTGAAAAATAGTAGTTATAGTAGTCACAATACGGCGAGTGTGCGTCGAGGGAAAAGGCTCTGGTATCTCCATCCCTGATATGTATCAACCTGATTAAACAGGTCGAAAGTGATCTTAGGACATGCAGTCGGAGTTGCCAATACGTCCCGACAAGAGGAGCTGGGAGAATAAAAATGCGATTGCGGAGGAGCGAACTGTAGGTGTTGACGGCATGGTTGCTTCGTGATGCGGTGTAGTAACTTCTGCTGCTCTCCGGAGACCGCGTTTATTTATTTCAACCTGTAGTATGTATTATACAACTCGGGTTCGTTGGACAAGGGATCTTTGCCTGGTACAAAACAGCGATTGGCATATTGGGGGAGCCCCTTGGGGATTAATATAGATTTGGGAGTTGTATGGACGGAAAGTTCTCAGTTATGTACAGAAGCCCACACCACCTTGTTGACCCCGCTGGTTCCCTAGATGCGCTAGCGACAAATGGAGCCATGGCATCTGGCGCCCTAGAAACGGAGAGCCGCATCGAACGAGAAGAAATACCCTACGGCGAGGGCCGATGCTGCTCCTCTCCGCGATGGCCAATCTGAACACAACGGGTTGCAGTGCCTCTGCTGGCGCGATTCTGGTGTGGACGGTTGACATGTGCGGTCTTCCAGCTCCTGCGGTGCTGATTCGGTGCTGTTGCTACAGATCATCATGCAGGAAATGATGACGCCCTTGTACCAGCCTTGCCATGGCGCGGATGATGGGATCGTGGAGTTCGTGGAGTGTATATCTGGTTTCAACCATGGCCTTTTCAAGGTTTTTCGTTCGTGATCGCAGCATTCCCTCCCAATTACAGCAAATAGCCCGGGTTGATTTGCTTTCTGTTTTCTTCCATCAATGAGTGGCCCTTGCTGTTATTCAATTTCACGAATCATGGCCTGTGTTTCATGAAGAAGGCCATCCGATAATATTAAATCTCTATATCCGCATGGCATCTCGTGTTCAAGATCTCCGTTCACATGCGAATTCCCCAATGACAGACGAATTATATCTACAAGGAAGGAGAATGTTAGCTGAGATGCCATCGCATAGATACTTGCGGGAAAGAATGCTACCATAGAAGTCCGCGATTGCTGAGTCAAGGACATCTGCGGTGCCAGGCTAGGTGAGATATTCAATTTGCAGGCGAAGGCATCATAAACGGATATTCTAAAGCAATGATAGAAGGAGACAGTAATGCAATCCACAAGCGAGTCAGACACACAAGCAAGCTGGACAGTTCTCACCTATCATACAGTGAGAAGTCTTCAAAGTCTCAATTACCATAAAAAAATTAACAAATTTGTATTATCAATTATTTTGTATATGCTTAGAGCATGTATGAGCAGTATATTAAATGATATTACATACACTACACTATGATACTGCATGTTTTTGTGATTGAGAGTCAGTGATCTTAAATATCTCTCTTTTTCATTTATTAATGCTTTGTAACGTGATCAACCACCCAATGCCAGCTTACACCTAGACTGGCCGCCGGGACCATGAATTTCATGTTTGGTCCCATTTGGTCTGGTCTCATACATTTCTTGATGTGAATCCTGCTGAGACTAATCATTAAAAAAACATGAAAAGTAACTATATATCAGATCTCAAAATAAGACTATGACTTAGAAAAAATAAGAAAGTAGTTTCATTTAGTTTCATTTAGTCTCATTCTTGATATAAAGTGACTATTTTTAGACATTTTAAGATTTCTTTTAAACTATTTTTAATTTTTTAAAAAGTAATGCTTTTTAATAATACTTAAATAAGATTTAAAGTCATTTAAAGTAATAAAAATAATTTAAATTAAGAAGTGAAAATCATGATCTTGTTTAAAAAATGTAATAAGAGTAGATAGTAAGTCTTACTGAGAGTCTAAGACAGTATGAAATTACTATCTAATGTTAAAACTGTGTAATAAAATCAGTTAAATTAATAATAAGACTATTAAATATTCTGATTCTAGTTTCAGACACAGTTATATAATCAGTCTACTTATACTTAATATTTACTCAATCTTTATTTTTTCATTCATCTTCAAATACTTACAATATATACTATGAAGCAGTTATATAAGCAGTAATTAATAATTTAAATATGAAATTAATCTCTAATTACACTGAAACTGCTAAAAAATATGAAATCAGTTAATATATATTATCACAGTATTATAGAGATTAGACTGACTGTGTAATTATATCTGAGATCAGAATTAGAATATTTAATAATCTCATTATTAATTTGACTGATTATATTTATAAAAGGTCTACACTGAATAGATCAGTATAATATTGATAGATCTTATATAATAAAGAGAAAAACATTAGAGAAGAAAAGAAAGAGAAAGTATAAGAATTAGCAATTAAAGTGAATATTTATATATGTATGTAATAACATATATGATAAGGCTTCAGAGTGAAAGAATCTATACATGTTTATAATAACTGAGAATCAGTGATTGAGAATGACTGAGAATCAGAGTGTATATATTTATAGCAGCTAAGAATTGACAATTAAGAATAACTGAGAATCAGAGTGTATATATTTAAGAATGAAGTAGTTGAAATCTGTGAAGTGTAATAGAATAGTCTATATAATTGATCAGACACAGTCTGTCATATTAGTTTATTTCTTTCAGAAGCAGTTCTTATCAGTCAAGAGCTGCTGTTTCAGATAATATGAAACTTAAAGTCTAAATCAGTTAATTATAACTGACTTATTTCATGAGATATTATTAACTGCAGCTGTGTAATCTCTCATTGACAATATCTTCAATCTCTCACTCAAGCTCATTATCTTCTTCTATGATTCCTGGCAGTTGTCAGTTGAAAGTCAGTTGAAAAGAGAACAGATCAGTGATAGTGCAGTGAAGTAAGCTTGTATAAAAGATATTATAAATCTCTGATAATGTGTTAAGACAGTAGTTATAACTATCTAGAACTTCTATCACTTTATATCTGATATAATGATAATCTAGTGTATGAGATAAATATATGATTCATATATTCTTAAGATTCAATTATACTAGATCTTCTATCTTATATTATTCAGCAGAGTCTTAGTGAACATTGATTTAATCTTCTTAATTCTGTTTAACACTTATTATGAAGACTTCTGCTTAATCATGAGTATCTCAGAGTTTTATTACTATATTATCAGTGATCTGAATTGAACTGTAGAGATTCAGTGTGAACTGTATAATCTTTAGAAGATCTAACATCTTCATGTAATAACTGTATATAAGAAAGAACAGACTTATATCTATTAAAACAGTGTCTTAATCATTAATAGTAATCTCTGTATATAGAAGAAGATTATATCAATCATCTTATAAGTAATTACAGAACTTATAAAGATAATTCTTTACAGTCTGAATTATCTATTCTGATGTATCATCAATCTCAGAGTGATAGACAGTTAATAGATAATATATAATCTTAAGAACTTGACAGATTCTTATTCAGAGAGTGCTTATAAATTAACAGTTCTTATCTGATACTATAGATCTCAGTAACTCATATATCTGATAGAATAAGCTCTGTAGAAAAGCTTCAGTGACTTGTTCAGTATTCATTTTATTACAAGATTTCAATATTATATCTTTACTTAATTAATTCATGATGATCAGAATATTTCTATAATCTTTACTCTCAGAGAGATTAACAGTGAAGTTAATTACTACATCTTATTAAATTCTATTAGAAATATTAAGTGATTTCAGCAGATCTTTTCTACAGTTCTTTCATAAGATGATGAAAGAATAATGATTACAGTTTCAGACAAAGCATCTGATACTGTTTAATATCTCAGATCAGTAGAACTCTTGAGAGATTATTCTATACAGTTATTCACAGTCTGAATAATCAGTTATATACAAATCATACATCTCTTATATTATTCAGATGTGTAAGAGTTCAGAGTGAGAGACTCAGTATTATTCATAGAATTGTAGAGTATTATTGTTATCAATTGAATATTCTGAGATATCAATTCTTATATATAGTTCTGAGAAAAATCAGATTACTTCTTAATATACTGCTTCAGTGAGTACTTGAAGAAGTTTATCAGTTTAAGCTGTTATATACTACAATTCATTCAGTGTAGATTCAGAGAATGTTCTGATCAGTGAAGTATATATAGTGTTATAATTGATCTCATTATAATTAACGCCCCGGTGGCCGAATGGTTAATGCGGCCACCTGGTAGCGCCTTGGCGTGGGAAACCAAGGCGCGTGGGTTCGAAACCCGCAGGGGATACATTAAATCCGGAACTCAAGCACCTCAGGTTCCTAATAAATACAGAGGTGTACAAATCGCTCCAATGAATCGCTCTATGTTCCTGGGCTGGGAAGTTATTATCGCATGTATCTAATTGTCACTCCTTTGTATTTTCCTATGTTCTTGTTATCTTGGCGTGGTCTCAACACCTGTATTTCCTCCTGTATAACCAACACTTGGCCTGTATTTAACATCACGCAAGGACTCATCATAAGCTCCGCTTGCATATGAGTATAATGGAAGAATAATAATAATA